AATATCCTTACATCTTCAATACATGATAAATGTGAATTGAATATGCATTTAGGCATGTCACCTATTTTAGATGAATGCAGTGGTCTTGAATTTACTTGAAATGATCTGGCTCGGCCTCAAAACCTGTTCCTGATGAAGGGTCCCAATTGTCACAAAAATGGTATGTGCCACAGTTTTCTATAACCTGATTATTTTGGAATTATTACATACATTTCAGCTGTTAAAATATCTTTATAGTATCTAAAGGCAGTGTCATCTAGCCTTTCTCATCATAAATATATTAAACAATGTAGAATAATTCATTATTATCAATGATATCACATTGCTTAGCAAATAAGGGGTTTAATATTCTTCTATGGTTCAGCAGTGATGTTTAAGGAGCTAAAGCTGCTGATCGCATTTTTATGCAGACACACAATGCTTTCATAACTTATGAATGCGCTGTGTGTATACATGGGGCATGTGGTTGAACTCATTGTTCATTATTACAACAAACAATAGGACTAACACAACCTGTCAACTGAAAAGCAGCATGTCCATTTACCTTTGATTTACTATTACTACATACAGTGTGTGGTTCAGGCACTCTGGCACTGGCAACACAAGGGAGGCAGAGAGAGAGAGGCCCCTCTGTGGTCTGTGTCCAACACTGATAAACTGGCAGACACACATCGATCCAGCAGCTCCTCAGCCCTGCACTCCACTTTGCTGAAAACACTCGACTCCAGAGCAGTAAAGAGAAATATCATATGTTTATCATCTTCAACCTTATCTGCATCCGAGACATTGACTGCTTTCTGTATGCAACATCTCAGCTTATCCATGCCTTGTGTCCTTGTTTGACTGCAGTTTATCACAAAGCCACACATTTCATTTACTAACCAAACATTTGTACATACAGATCTGTATCAAATACTACTAATAATACTATCATCTGCTGACTCTAACTTTATGGTTTGTTTTAGCCCACTTAGGCCACAGATGTGTTTTGACACCAAGAACGATTAATGCCAGAGTGGGTGAAAATACACTGAAAGCAACCACAGTGCACACACACAATGGTGAGCATGCCCACAAACATATACAGTACACATATTCTAGAGAGCAGTGAAGCAGATTCAGCTGTGCTCTTAGCTCACCGTCCCTCTCCAATGACCTCATACCCTGACAATGCCACCATTCATACAGATGTTGCTTACAAAACCTGGAGTCAGACTCCTATTGTGTGCGCTGCTCCTCCTCACAACAAGAGGTTTAGCCAGAGGTGCTCCCCTACTACAGTGGAAGAAAATGAATGGATCACGTAATAGTGTAACCATTTACGCTAATAGTTTAACCGCTTACAAATGACTTCATACTAAGCTAAACGCTCAATCAATCACCATGTAGCGGAGTTAAAAACAGAAACATCTTTGGCTGCTTCACAAGTTTTCTTTTGTAATTTATGAACAGAATATGCATTTTTCACTCTTTTGCTGTATAAGGTAACACTTGAACTTCAAGGCTTTTACCCCACATGCCTGTTTCAAATCTATAACTATACTGAAACATAACAGTAAGGGTTGTGTAAATGAAATGTTAAAAAAGCTCCATTAGCGTGCTAGAAACACTTTGATTATTGGTCCTCCTGTGTCCTATGAAATGTTTCTTTAAGAGCAAACTGCTTTTTTCCCCCTCCTCAAGTAAAAAGGAGTACATTTAGAGCATGCCAGGAATTATGTCATCCACCCATCTAGTGCCAACTACACAGCCAAGAGAGCTGCAGTGAAGGAACATATAGTACTGTTTACCTCTTAAAAAAACTCAGCACCTAGCCTGATGCTTAGTGACACATTTATTGTCCTTAGTAACAATGTAAACAATAGATAATTGAGGAGATAATAAATAACACATTTTCATACAACAGCACCAAACTGTTCGAAAAGCCCCTCTGTCTGAAATTAGCAGGCAAGCAGGATGTGTGGAAAGCATGGAGTGCATTTCAAAAGGACACAAAAACAATGCGGAATCCACCATTGACAGGAGTAAGGTCATATAGTCGCGCTCACAGATGTTTTTTTAAAACCAGCTTGATAAGGGCCTGTTTGGGCTTCCCTTGTTACAGATGAGACATCTGTGATAGATAGTGAATGTCTTTCATCATACAAACAAAGACATCAAACCATCTGAGCAGGAAAGTATTCAGGGTAGAAAACAGTGCACATATGAACATGTGTTTATAAAGCACAGTTCCATCTATGAATGCATATGTGTGTAACCTTATTTCTCTGTTGTTTTTAAGCTCCTGGCTCTCTGTATGTGTATGCATGTCTGTGGCTGTCTAAGTATGTGACACAGTGTGAAGAGGATGACAGAGCCTGAGCAGTCTGTGTGTGTGTGTGTGTGTGTGTGTGTGTGTGTGTGTGTGTGTGTGTGTGTGTGTGTGTGTGTGTGTGTGTGTGTGTGCGTGTGCGTGTGCGTGTGCGTGTGCGTGTGCGTGTGCGTGTGCGTGTGTGCGACTGTTCGCGAGGTCCTGTGGAGAACCGGCTCTGAGCGTTGACGTAATGCTTTGGCCGCCGTGCTGTGGAACTTGGCCTCCTCTCTGTAGCGTTTCCTCTACGCTGCGAGGGTCAACTATCCCACAACCTCCAGCACACAACACGCACCATTCTATTCCCCAGACCACAACAGAGCAGAACACAGCCACACCCGGCACCACGAGCACCCAGTGCTTCGCAAGAAAGAGAAAAAAAAACACTTGAACCAAAGCTAATAAAACACTCCCAGACAACCAGCTAAAAGCAAAAAAAAAAAAAAACATAAGTCGGCTTCGCTGCTCACTTTAAACGATGGCACTTAAGGAGAAAATCAGAGATAGAAGAGAACAAAGATGGGCACTGATGCAGATACAGTCTTTGGCCCAGAGAGCACAAACAGAGAGCTTAGAGCGAGATATGAGTCCCCAAGGGGCCACAGCAGTCCTTCGGCTCATTAACTATTTACACCAGAGACAGGCCTCCCTGCTGCTCTGGCCCACCACAAAATCAATTAGGGTTCATTAGCCCGGGTCCTGGGCATGCTTTCTCTGGCAGGGGAGGGTTAATCCTGCTACTGAGGCCTCCAGTGACCACAAAATATCAAACAATCACACACATATGTGCATACATGCATGCACACATGCAGAGGGGCTGAGGAAACTAGGCTGAGCATGAAGTGCTTTTACGGAACTCACTCATAATTCTTCCAATTTCTCACTCTCACACAGTTTGGTGTATCAGAATATCGATACCGTCTCTCGCCTTTCAAATCCCCTGCTCACTCCGCCTGTCTATCTATTTCCTTCATGTCTATCAAAGTCCCACTCAATCCCTTTCTTCGCTCTCACAATGTAAACGTTGAGCAGAAAGAGAGGAACCAGGTCCGTGCCTCGGGGGTGTGGGGTTACAGTGCGGAGATTTCCCATTGGCGGAAAGTCAACATGGTCGGGGTAATGCGATTAGAGCCGGATTGAGAACGTCGCAGGGGACACATGGGCCTGATCATGGCCCGGTTATCCGATAGCAGGGCCGTATTTATCGACGTGGCCAAGCGCGGATATTACAGACATTAGAGACCCCGTCTATGCTTATGAAACCCGCGCTGGAGATCGCACCCCGATAACACAATTAGTCTCTCACTTTCTGTCCACAATCATGGAATTCCATCAGTTTCGTTCAGACATCAGGGAGCACAATCTCAATTGATCCACAATTGGTTGCTGTGCCTCACGTCTGAATGGCCAACTAACCAGAAAGTTGTATGGTCGAGGGGCCTGTAGCCATTTAGTGACTGCATATGTTTATGGGAGGCCTACCAGAGCATTTACAATTCAATTACACAGATAGGGGTGGGGGAAAAAATAGCAAGATGTGTCTGGATGACGGCCAGGGGAGAGATAAGCCTAATACACTAATATTGTGTTACCCCAGCGTGTTACCATAGGAACAGTTGAAGAGATTCAAAGACTACAAAGACGATCAATCTTGAGAGAGCAGGAGGAAGAGGGAGAATTAAATGCCCTGGGAATGCTCCCGCTCTCCTCTATCAGAGCAATAATCTTCTAATGACCTCTGGCCTACCTCTGCTACCTCTCTATCTCGGTTCTCTCCTATCCTCTCTCTCTCTATCTCTCTCTCTCTCTACTATCTCTATATCTCTCTCTCTCTCTCTCTCTCTCTCTCTCTCTCTCTCTCTCTCTCTCTCTCTCTCTCGCTCTCTCTCGCTCTCTCGCTCTCTCTCTCGCTCTCTCTCTCTGCAGAGTCCGCTATCAGTGAACCTTTCCAAACACAAAGAGCGGCCAATGTTTTTCATCATGGTTTGTGATTTTTATGATATCCAGATCATGACACTTGCTGTTATATCTTAATGTCTTAACCATTTTCAGGAATATTTATTTTGAAAACAAAGGTTGGCTGGTGGTCACGTTGCTACAGTATTAATCAGTTCCTATCACCTAGAGTGATACTGTATGCATTTTACATTAATCAGACGTGCACTGCATTAGCAGTGCCAACATGCAAAGTAAAACTGAGTGGAGGTTTATTTTCTCCTCAGCTTCTTCGTCAGTCAGTCTTCTAACTCTCACTCTCTCAGTCTCTTTCCCACCGCTCTAACTGCCTGCTTTGTGAAGGATGAGGTCATTCGATTTTTTCCTTGCTGTGTTAAACTAGTGCTAACAAGTTGCAGGACCTACAGAACATGTTCTGTACATTAAGATATACATCAGGCAGTCGGTGGGCAGCGCAGCCACAACCATATAAAGGGTTCTTTATTCCAGCCAGAGTCTCCAGTGCTGCACTGGCAGGTTCAGACACAGCTTTGATTACACCCCAAATGATGAAATCCACAAAGACCTACGAGCACAGCCTTGCTGGCACAGCCAAGTGGAAAAGAAAGTTGCAACACTTTGAGTTTGAGTGTGTGCACTTGTGTTTGTGTGCATAAATGTGTACGTGTCCATGTGACTAGATGCATATACTCACCAGTTTGGCTTCTGAGTGCATGGAGGGAATGTGAGCGGAAGAGCAGGAGTTGTTGTGGGCGGGTCCTTGCATGCCCATCATATTGGAGCCCATAGACATTTGTCCCTCCATCTGAAGATTACAACAGATTGATAACGTCATAATACATACTGTGGAAATGTTATTCCAATGCAAAAAAAAATCGCTATGATTTATGCTATTTTTACCCACAAGATGCTATCACTAGTTTTACAAAAGAGCATTTAAACCATGAGACATCATGATTGTTCATGGTAAGCTGAGGGATGATGAGATGAGAGAGTATCAGAGCCTGATTTCACATGACAGCTGCCCTGTGCACAGCTCTGTGTGATGATAACTGGAGCTGACCCAAAACAGGAAGCCAGCACGGAGGGACTTAACACAGGAAGCCGGTGCAACAGGGGTGTGTCAGGGTGTGTGTGTGTTTCTGATAATGGTGTGTGGAGTGGCGGTCAGACTGACACATCAAACCCCAGCTCCTCTTGGTGCAGGGTGTGTTAATAAAGTAAACGAGATGTAAGTAGGTTTGTATGAATGCATTAGATGTGTGTTACTGCCTGCATCATAGTGACCCTGGTCAGTGTTGTCATGTGTCACAGCTGAGTCCTGAATGTGAGGAAATCAGCTGGTTAAGCCGACAGGGGTCAGAGGTCACTCGAGCAGGGCGATGATGTGAACAGTACATGCAGGGAAGAAGAAAACCTCTGTGTGTGTTTATGCATGCACGTGTGTGTGTGTGTGTGTGTGTGTGTGTGTGTGTGTGTGTGTGTGTGTGTGTGTGTGTGTGTGTGTGTGTGTGTGAGCTGCTGTGGCCTCCCAGCTGCTGAACTCTGGGTGGTGTGATGGTCTCTACGGGGGGAATGGCCCCTCTCCACCCCCCTTTGCCTGACCCCCCGCTCTCCCCCCCCCCCCCCCCCCCCCCCCCCCCCCCCCCCCCCCCCCCCTCGTCCGCAGAGACTCAGGCCTAGAACCTGACACACAGCCTTAATTGCACTAAGTGTGTTTTGTGTAAAAATATCACCCAAACCTGCACCCCTTTCCTGAACCGTCAATCTTCCCCAAAATCGCTTAGCTCTTAATTTAATAAACATGGGAGGGTTTTTTTTTTTCCATACCATAAACAGAGGCTGTCTTGTGTTACAATGAGAACATATGTTGTATCATTAGAATCCTGATACGAGGAGCTTTCTTCGGGTTGTTATCATTCCCAGCTTCCCAATGTGGCTCTTGTCTTGCTGGCTTAATTACAAAAAAAGTCTATATTCTAAACCCAGAAATAGACTCCTTCATTTTTACAGGATATAACTTCCTTATAAACTGTGGTAAATCATTTGAATGGGGAGGGAAAACATCCAAAAGTAATGCATAGTTTATGTACAGTCTGATTTCACACTGTCGTCACATATGAGTAAGTGACTGCTGCATGTGTGAGTGAGCCCGTTGTTGTACTCACAGGCATCAGCACGGCGGAGGAGCCCGGCATGGTGGGGTCTGGCAGAGTTCCCGGCATAGAGGCAGGCAGAGGCTGTCTCTGTCTGTTTCGTAGGTGCAGCAATGAGGACAGAGAGCCAGGGACAGGCCTGGGAAGACACACACAGAGAGACATTCAGAGGACTTCATGTTTCACACTGTTATAGATAACTGATGTTACTGCTATTCTTTATCATATAACAACATCAAAACCAACTAGCAACACCGCTATGGTGCTAGTTTTAACTTCTCCTGTCAGCCATGACTGTTGTGTAAACAAATAAAGACTGCTTGATTTTAACATAGATGTAACCATATCTGATAATATGTGGTACACAGGTTAAATATCCCTTGTAGATCAAGGTCTACCATCTCAATGTATTCTGGGTAGAATTTCCTAAGTTGTCTTGAGAGTAAAAAGGAAAAATATATATATATATTTAATTAATTAATTATTAAAATATGAATTATTGCAAGTAATGTATCAATGCATATAAAAATACTACCCAAAAAATTAAGAAATATTTTATGAGATTATTTGTGTTATATTCATTCAGTCATGATAATCTATCTTTAAAGAAAAATCATTAATTTAGTGTTTAATTTCTCTAAATACATGCTGAAGTTCAAAAGTTAATCCCAATCTATTTATATGCTACGTTACATATAGACAGAAGTGAACAAACTGGTTTAACCTTGAAAAACAATTCCCACAGTTATTCATTTCACAACTGATCAATTTCTGTGAAAATGATTCCTGAACTTCTTTTTCATTTTCTACCAGTTTGTCCAACTCTAAAGACATAATGGAAAGCAGAGTGTGTGGCTGCGTATTCATGCTGCAGTTGAAAGCTGAAGCATCTGGCCATTTTTGGATTTACTTTAAACAAGTACATTTCATGTATTACAATGAATAGGGATGATGGCGATGATTAATGAATAATATTTGTCAAAACGACCACATTTTGTGCATGACAAGAGTCACTTTTGAGAAACTGCTTGGCGGTGGGAGCACTGTGTGGGGGGGAAATTCCCTCTTGCTGACCACAAAAGCGTGTGCGAACCAACAGGCCTATCCACACACACGGCCGCATTAATAAATCACATTTAAAGATGAGGCCGTGGCTAAACTTAAACTATTGACAGCAGTCTTGTCACAGTCATCGACTCAGGGCTGCGGCCATCCAAAAACATAAGGACATCATTTATACAACTGCCTTCAAATCCCTGATGCAAGAACACTGATTCCCAGCTGCAGGGAGTTACACCACCCACATGCATACAGTAATAGTTCAGTCCTGAGCTTACAGAAACAGCATTCGCTACTTGATTCTTAAACAACCTGTATCACAAGAATCAATAAGTATCCAGTTATCAGTATTCAGGATGAAGTCCAGTCAATAAAGCTCCATTTCCAAGAGCGTTTAGAAGTTAGTGCAAACAAGACGCATTTAGGTTAATATAATCAATTGACCACATCATAGCCTGGATTACCGTAGTAGTGAGAAGTGAAAGAGTGATGGCCAAATGAAGGGGGTGGGGGGGTGGGGGTGGCACCAGAGCAAACGCTCCCCCACCTGAATAAATACCTGTATTTTTCCAGACCTAAATATGTGCATTTACGCTCCAGACATTTTAGATTGCTCCACATACACCCAGGACCATTACCATCCCGACTGTGTGTCATTCCTGTCTAACATCCCAATTTATCACAATCACACTCATTTAACAGCACGTATGACATCTGAGCAACACTGCGAATCCAAACATTTCCACATGGGAAAAGTCATGAAAGTACAATGAGGTATGCAGTGTAGCTGCGAGCTACATCAACACAGTTTCCCTCTGCGTTTAAACTGCCAGCGTCCAGGAAGAAATAACAGTCACAAGGCAGAGGCAGTGACACGCTGTTGATTTTCTAAATAAAAACAGTTTTGCTGGATTTGTATTCAGTATGATGGCTGCCTGATGAAGGTTTTTCTTGCACTGCAGAAGTTGAATGAGATTTGTGGCAGATGTTTTTGACCAGAATAAAAAGCAAACACATCTTTAAAACTATGCAAAAAACTAGGCAAACACATCTTTAAAACTATGCTGTAAATCTTTCTCGATCTCTTTAACAACTTGAAATTCGCTAATCCACAGGATCTAATTTAGTTTCAAAACTGGCTTGTTCAATATATCCAATTTATTTTTGGATAATACTGGATACCAAATATTTAACACATTACAATGCTATCCTTCGCCCGCTATATACTGTATAGTGTGTGTGAGAAACGAAAACATTCTCTCTCATCTTTCAGACTACAACTCTCCTTCTTTATTTAAAGGACACCTATCATGCTATATTTGAACAATATATTGTAGGGCCATACCTATATAAGGTATATAAATATAGTTTTTCTTTCAAAATACCAAACAGATCCTGCATTTTAGCCATGCCTCATTTCGCTCCATTTTGCTCTTTCCAGCCCTGTTTTTGCAGGGGGCTGATTCTGTGAGCTGCAGCTGACCACGCCCCCCTGCAGGAGAGGGGAGCGTGCTCTGATCAGCTGCTGGGCTGTCAGAAGAGGGGGGGGATCTCCGTCCTCCTTGTTTTATTATATTATTATATAGAGTCGTTATTCATTTGTTTTAAAGCTCAATAAATAACAAAGAAGACCTTTGACCGGCACTTTTCTAATTTTGTCCGGAAGATTTAAACTTTAACGGACATCTTGACCGGCGAAAGAAAACCTAACTGAAACTCTGCCGCACGGTCCCCTCGTTCCTTGGAAGAGGCGGAGAGGTGGGTGTTTGTCATCTGCTGGTGGACTAACCGGAGAGAATTACAGTGCTTGCCTCGACGGGGAGGGATTGCATTGAATTACAGCAGCAGGAGCAAACGCTTGCCTCGGGGAGGGAGAAAAAGAGCCACAGCGGAGAATAAACAGAAGGGTAACCATGGTAACCATGCGCGGGAAGTCTTCTTCGCTGCTTTTGTGGCAGACTACAGCGCTACTTACAGGCCTGGCATATGTACTACAGCGTCTCCAGCGCTTTCGAGCGGCAATGGCCGGCCGTGGCCCAACCCCACATTCCCCTGATAGGTGGAGAGTTGGCCCAATAGCCGTAGCGCCACTTCTGTGACGTCAGTAACGTGTTCAAATCTGGATCAGTTTTTATCAGATCCGTTGCAGCCCCATTTTTAGAGATTTGGGTATGTAGGAAAATAGAGAGGGTTGTGTTTTCTGACACTTGGTGAGTTCCCTGGAACACCGGGGACACATATTCATGTATAAAAGACGTACAAAAGTGCATTTTGCATGATAGGTCCACTTTAAGATAAGACAAAACAATGCATCACAGCGCTAATTGTGACAGCCAACCAGCAAAGGTCAGAGGCTCAGGCAGGTCGCTGGTTTTTGCAGGTCAGGCTCCCGCTTTCTAGAGAAGAAAGGCTCCTTTGAAGCCTGTACAGGTTGAGCTGGGCCTGTCACCTGCAGCAGAGCAGGGGGAGGACAGACACCGCGTCCTTCACCATCACACACACCAAAACACAACGTGGTTGTCCAGTGGGCGGAAAGATCTGACAGCACTTCCTCTGGGGATTAACTCAGCTTTGTGCTAACCCCTGCTAATAGATACAGAGGTTTCAGAAAATAGTCACTATGAAAAAGATCGATTGAATCTGTCTTATTGTAAAGAGCATTTCCACAATTGTTTTTATCAAGACCAACAATGTTTATTCATTTTTTTTCTTTTACAACTTTGCCCTGATATTGACCCTGTGAGGTTGAAACCGGCCAGTGTTTTTAACCAATCTTTCTGTCTAAATAATGGCTTTAAAATAAAAATGTCCTTTGCTCTGCTTTAGTGCCGAAGACACTTTCTTTACTTACTTAAATATATATGTTTCTATTTGTATTTCTTCAATTAGTTGAATAATTTCAGTAACTCAAACACATGTCAGCTGCAGCCCTTTGTATCCACACACACTACTCTATTGAAATGCATAATTTCAGCTGTAGCTTGTGATGCAGGGTGTCCATTATCAAAAAATACATTATAATAATTGAAGTGGTTCTTCTTCTCAATTCTTGTCTACCTTCTGTGTTTATGCACCAGAGTGTACAAAGATTTTAACAGATTCATGTTGGGCCTGTTTGTGTGTGAATAAGTCCATGTTCCAGTGTGTGCATGTGTGTGTATTCATGTGAGTGAATAATGACAGGCTGTGGCTCCACTGAGGGGATTGATAATAGCCGGGCTGGGGGCCCCAGGGGAGAGCAGGTAGACACTCTGCAGTCCTGACCCTGCACTCTCACATTACTGAGTGCCTCGCTTTCAGCCAGGCTCTCCTCCACAATCCCCGCCCAAGAACCACCACCGCACCACCCCTACACCCCACCTTCGCTCCACCATGACATCACTGCTAGACCCTTCTTCTTTCCCCGAGTCTTTCTTTTGCTTTTATCTCTTGTTCCAAAGTTTATTCCTCTAAGTTATCCTGTGATTTCCTCTCTTGTTTTTCTCCTCCTGTCATTGTCTTGGTAATCCTCTATAACTCTCTTCTGGACCCTTTAGAGTGCCCACACCTCAACTCAAGCCCCTCTGGATTTGCTTGCTCTAACCTACAAATCCTGCAGTCTGCACACACACTAAGCTTTACTGCTCCAATCCCCACAGTCCCAACTCCAACTCAAGCACTGGAGACTTTAAACACAGGGGCTTGGCCGCCGTCCAAGAAGAGCAAGAGCGGGAGAGAGAGGTGCAGTCAGTCCACTGACTCATATCCTTCCCTTTCTGACTCTGCTCCAGCAATGATGTAATGCTTTTGGCTTTTCGCCCTCCCCCACCCTGTGCCTGCCCACCCCCAGATTTCGTCCCTCCCTCCTCTCCTCATGCTTTTCCCTCTCTTTCCCTCCTCGACTGGTCCAACATCTCTGCGCTCACTCTTCGCTGAGTGAAGTCACTGCGAGCTCCGGGTATACACAGCAGCTAAAAACTTTCGAACGTAACCAAAACAGCCCAGGGCCAAGTTCCAGACGTTCGGGAGACGGTGGTGCAGTCGCCATGGGAACGGAGGTAAACAGAGGGAGAAACAAGGGCCTCAAACAGCTTGCAGCTG